CTGGACAATTGGGACTATTTCTCTCCCGTTACCATGGCAACCATGCGAATCTCAGCGCCGAAAACGACTTTCAACAGCATCTCTCTCTGCCAAAGACCAGTTCATAATCACACTGTACTTGGCTATTGTGACACACCAGTGAGCCGATTATACATTTTGGGCTTTTTGATTGCACAACGGAGACGGCAGAGATAATCAGGAGCTAATCTGAAGTTTTTCGGCCAATTAAAAATAGCTTAATACGCTCACAATAACTCAAACCATCCGGGGTGGTTCAGGAGAGCTATGTGGGTGCTTAGTTTCTACCTCAGATGGTTTCGGTTTTCTTAATTTGGCGGGCAATTAAAAGGTGATCAAAATTTTATAGACTTGGACTGAAGGAGCAACCGGAGCCGTATCTCGAATAATACTTTTTCCAGTAGGCATTTAAAAAAAGAAAAGAAAAAAAAATGACATTTGTTAAAGTGTTATAAGCCATAAGCAACGAGGTGAACTACAACATTACCAACTCTTATTTAAGGCAAAATGTATTTAAAAATACTATGTGAACTTTGCTGAGGGAAAGAACTACAATCCCCTGAATCACTTCAAATGACATAATTTAATTTAAAAAGTTGGTGGACAAAAACCCCCAATTCATTTAAAGTTGTTGATCATATCTATAGAAACAATATATTTTAAGTTTATTGCAAGATATATACATTTATTAAAGTATTTTGACCCCATCGCTAGACAGACTTACGTAATTTGCAGTGCATCATGGGAGTGGGCGGAGCTAAACAGCTCTTTTGGTGCAACTTGCTCGCTGTGACTCTGATTGGTGGACTGTTCTGTACAGTATTATCATGGGTAATTTATTTATTTTATGGTAATTTATGTTTTTTCACCATCGATTCATTCTCACAGACACATCCAACCAAGCTTTATTCATGTTACAGTAACTCTTCAAACATTTGCACATCAAAATAATTGCATTTTCTGCAATATACGGCTTATTACGGTAATGCTTTCTGCCAGCAAACGATTTTTCTGAGTTTTTCTAAATAAAAATCTGTACATTTATTCCATTTTATTTTATTTTTGTCAATTTAAATTCCATTTGCAAACTCCCCACACAATAACGATAAACTAATTCATTGACAGCCATTTGTTTTCAAGGAAAAAAAAAGACATCTTGCACTTGAAAATAGCACATTGTTGTAGGTCCTTTTCACTTTTTTTAGCTTCAGTTTCTAGAGGGTTAAACAATAATTCTAAAAAGTAAGTTGAAATAATGTGAACGGATGGCTTCAACAAAAGCATTTACCATTGATTAATAACCTCAAAACTCATTGTAGGTCTGTCTTTAAAGTTTAATAAGTAGTTATTGTTAAAAACTAAATTCTCTATGGAGAACATTAATGTAGTTTTTACTTATGGCACCCGAATGTTACACTCTATAAGCAACTACCTAGATACGCCCTAGCAACCACCTAGCAAAACCCCTGCTAACACCCTAGTGACCACATGTCCTAAACCCCCCCGAACACCTTAGCAACAGCGATACGGCTTGAGCTGAAGCCAAGTCGACATTATATTAAGCATTAAGGTGATTAATCTGCAGCGCCGCTAACTATAGCCATTTCCCACTTTACCCTTGAACGCCTCGTATCCTGAGAGGAAGTCTAAATTGAAGGGTTTCTTTATAGGATACACACGGGATCTTGAAGAACAGAGAGAAGAAAGTTAATAGTGTCTCCAGTGAGCGAACACAACAGATGCTACACACATGCCGGACAGACACACAAACCACAGAGATCATCTATCTCACTGACTGCCGGCTTGTGTGCGCGACTGTCAAGCGGTCGCTGTTATTCGTATTACCCACAACTGGGAACCGACACCTCATTTGAAGGGGTAAAACTAATATTTTGTCAGGCGCACGTGTAGCTCCAGCTTGGGAACAGTTACGTCTGTGAAATAACCCCTACTTTTCAATGGAAAGTCTACATTTTCACTCTTTCCATTACAACAATTAAGTGTACTGTGGGTTTAAGAAGTGATATGACAATCAATTCCCAACAAAATAGACATTTCATGTATTTAATTTAATTAAATTAACCTAGTAAAACAGATGTAGCCATTATTTTCACTGCAGAGGCGCAGGTTTGTCGTACAAAATTCGTCAATAATAATATATTTGTATTATTTAAGAATGGTTCATATTGTGTGTAGTGTGTGTAGGTCTTAAAAGCTGACGTCTGTGGTTTCTGAAGCCCTAGAGGTGGCAAACAGAACTGCAATGGGTTTGAGCAGACAGACATATCAATAATGGAAAGTGTTAGTTGAATATCACTGGTGATATACCTAAAATATGATATCCAATGTTGACGATAAATCGATATACAGTAATGGCCAAAAGTGATGTCCATAGGGGATGTTTGTTTTTTATTGACCCTACAAGTTCAGTTAAAGTATACAAATATGAGGATTTTCCAAACTTTAATCGAACTTGTTAGTTTTCATTTTCGTTTTTTATATTTTAAATATGAGGCTAAACTTGGTTAAGTTGCTTATCTGACAAAATGATTTGGCAAAATAGGCAAACTACAGCTGCAGGTTTTATTTCACTATGCAAATAAATAAATAAATAAATAATCAAAAAGCTCACAGGAAAAAAAAAAGCATAGATTGACTACAACATAATTGGTTATTAATATTTAGTTGGTTTTCTCGTTTTTACATGCGCTCATAATTTGTTTGTTTGACAGCCTGGCCAAAATGTATGTCCGCACAGTTTCATTACATCACAAATAAAGCAATTGACTTCAAGCTATTGCGACCAAAAACTATGTTTTTAAATTATTTATTTAACCAGTAAGGTCCAAAATATCTCTTCTACCAGGGAGTCCTGCAAGCAAAACAATAAAAAAGCATGCTTGCAAAATCTTTAGCAAATTTGTAATGATATTTTAATGAAGGGTAAATATGTAAATTTTCCTAGACTGGATGTCACTTTTGGCCACAATCTCAGTATTTTTGCATTTGCTCTAGAATAATTAAAAAAAGATGAGTTTCCCATTGCCCCGTGAAAAATGTACCACTTTTCTTTTACCACTTTTATTAAATTAACATGTAAATGTAACAATATGAAAAAGAAACAGTGCAAAATAGGTACAAAAGGTGCAGTCTAATTCACAGACCACATTTTACACTTGTGCAACTGGGGTAAATTGACCCTTCGCTAAGCCACGCCCGAAAACCGCCACTGGCCAATCGTGGCTTAGCAACCGTAACTAGGCGCGGGAGGTCTGTCAAGCTTTCGAGCGAGGGAAACATGCCGACGCGTTGTGCGTATGGATTGTGCAAATCTGATACCCGGTATTCTAAAAGTTTGGACGGTGGGGTGGCATTTTTTCTCTTCCCGAAACCTAAAAGCCAAAGGGGAGAAATGCCGGGCGTGGATCAAGCAGTGTGGACTGTGGAGACCCATTCACAACTAAATGTCGACAGGATTAACAAAAAAAACCCGCCTATTTCTTGGAAATAATGGCGGTTCTTTGTTCATAATGCATATATTTGAACGTAAAATAAGACGATTAAAGGCAAGACGGAGGCTCACTGACATACTTTAAAATATGTTTCAGCATTGTGTTAATCGACGGCGGACGGCCTACTAACGTTAACTTTATCCCTGTAACTTTACCCCAATCCGATCGCGGCTCTCCCGGTGTTAGATTGATAAGCTTTTTGATTTAAATTGATTTGATATTAGATTATTTTCACATTTCACTTACTCTGCTGTGCATGAATATAGCTGTTCAATTTGTGTTTCCCATTTGAATGGAGGCGGCTGCTGCTTGCGCTGGGACCTAACGTTGTAGGCTTTAGCTTCAATTTTGATTAAATTATTCTCTAATCGGTTGCATATTATGTCGTGGATATATCCCTCGAATGCATACTGCTGTCCCTTTTGTCTTGCTCTCTCAGATATTTCACTTGTTCGCCAAAAATGACTAAATATCTCCTTGGGAATGTCTGACACCGGTGCATTCACACTGTAATAGACGTGGCAGCCGCGAAAGCTTGACAGGCGTAGCAACAGTAACTAAGGAGGGCGGGGCTTAGCGAAGGGTCAATTATGCAAGTGTTTCACAAGTTTTTAAACAAGAAACACAAGTCTATCAGCGGTTTCTGGTTTAAGATGCTCTGTGGAGCGACAGCATGTTCCCACCGGCACTAAAGACTCTTTCAGACGGGGAAAAAGCTGCTGGGACACATAAGCACTTCTTAGATAGTTTTGGATAATAAAAAAAGGTATATTTGGTGGCGTCTTTGGCACATTAATCTTAATTTTGAACAATATTTGCTGGGGAAGTTCATGTAAGCCAAATCTGCACACCTTTAGTAAAAAAACTCAACGTGTGAGCCATCATGATATATTAAATTCAGCGTATTGGGCAGAGTCTGCTCATATCTGGCTTACTTGAACACACAGACACACGTGTCACTTCGCAACAAATAACGGCGCGCTTGTTCATTTGCATTGAAGCAATAAAAAAAAGCATTTGGTTAACAGAAAAAAAACATTGTTATTTTCCAACATCCTACTTTTTATTTCATGTTCTTTGTACTGTATTGATCTGTCCATCTAAAACACATTTTTGGTGATGAGGATGAAAGAGATTGCTGGATGACAGGATTTTGTTTGAATAAGAATTGAATGTAAGCTATGAAATCCTTTATAATATCCATTTATAATTTATAAATAAGCTGTGACGTAGTGATTTTTTTTCTTTCTCCTCCCCCCACCCAACCTTTTTATTTTGGCTAGTACCAAAATCAAAATCAAACCCTGATTTTTACAATATTCTGTCATTTTACATTGATTATTCAATTATCGTGATAATAATGCTAATATCCGATATCCCAGCTCTAATCACTGACACTACACATCTGTGGCGGGCGGGTCAGAAACGGGCCCGAGGAAAGCCGACTGGAACAGGAGACGTGTCACTCACTTCCCGTGAAGGCGATCCACCTGGCGTATTTGGTGGCTTCGCGCCGCCAGTGCGAGGCCACGAGCAGGCCACAGGTGACGGTGAGGGAGATGATGCCCATGATGATGAAGAAGAGCGTGGTGACCCACTCCGGGGGCAGTCGGGGGGGGATGCAGGTCCGGTCCCGGCCGTGGATCGTCTGACACTGACGCACCAGCCCCACCGTAAGAGCTCCTGCAATCACACACACACACACACAGTGTCAATCACGAGCAAGGCACATTCAACCACGAAAATCACTCTTTATCAGGGTGTTTAGTAGTGCTGGGCGCTATACCGGTTCATACCGAATACCGGTGTTTATTTTTGTTATGATATGAATTTGTAATATACCGCAATACTGGTGTATGTCGCTTAAATAACGTTAGGAACACGGTAACACTGAGGCGGTGAAAAGCTGTATGTGTTACTAAGCGTGACGGTGAAGATGGATTGGTTAAAACTATGATAGATAGCTGTCAAATTATGTTACAGTGTTTCCCATACATTGGTTCACAATATCAACTCTGCCTTTTGGAAAATCTATTTGTGGTTGGCATTGATATCGTTGAATAAACACGAGCGCTGCACGTGTCAAAGTCAAAACGTGGCGCGGGTGTTTTTACATGAAAGTATCTGAAGTGAACTGACGGTCTTTAGAAAAGTTTTAATGTTATTTTCATTGAATCTTTCATGATAAAGCAGCGTTTATGAGCGCTGCACTGCTTTGTGTACAGCCGTTACCGGGGAAACCGCTTTGTGTACAGCCGTTACCGGGGAAACCGCTTTGTGTACAGCCGTTACCGGGGAAACCGCAGTTTCTGCCGCTCCTAAAGCGCCTCTTTGTAAACAGCCTTAATGCAAACCTGTATTAATATTAGTGTGGATTTTGTCTACAATATTCCCTCATGACAGTAAAATAGGGCATTATAAGTCAATCTACTGCAGTATTCCCTCTCTCAATCAGCAGAAAATGTGGTTAACACCCAGTCATGCTTGAAAAAAAATACCGTCATATACCGTGGATGTGTTAAAATGTGGATTTTTGGTCATACCCCCCAGCACTAGTGTTTAGCTAGGGACTAAACTACAACACGGCACACGAGAGAAAAACAACAGCAACATATCTGTCGAGTACAAAAGTTCAGAGCTTGTTTTGTGCAGAAAAACACACTGCACCTGTCAGAGCCATATAGAGTGAGAGTTGCGACAACTCCATTGACTCCAATGGAACGTTTTTTTACAGCAATGGCGGCTCGCGGAGCCTCTCAATAGTTCCCGGAAGTAGCAGCAGCGCGGTAGAGTTACAGCAGAACAGACGGTTTGTGATGCACTTTTAAAAGGTAAGACGTTTAAAGAATAAGATTGTATATTATCAGTACATCTGAATCAAATTAACTTGTAACTTTAACTGTATTAAAGCATGCTAGTTGATTATTGCTCTCTAAATTAGTAGTTTTAGGGGACGTTATCAGGTAAAATAAAGGTAATTGGATAAAGTTAATACCGCATAACAAACCACGAACAGCATATTAATGTTTAAACCCGTTCTATTAATGCATGTTTATCCTTTGTTGTGTAATAAGAGGGAAATACTTCTAAACAGAGGTTAAATATAATAAAACAATGGGGACATTGGGGAGTGTGATAGTTGTAATTGATAAAATGAGAATATCGGTTTCATTCCATAAATGTGCAATAACGGGAAAAATCCTTACTTTAGATTTCATATTTGAGTAAGGAAAAACGTATGGTTGGCGTTTTTTATTCATTGTGTTTCTGTTGACTATTACCTGTCTATATTATGATTTAGCTCAGCTGATTTGTATTGATGGGAAAGGGAGATGGAAGTTTATAAGTAAGATTAAAAAACTTGCTTAAAACGGCAGCAAGCCGTGTTCTAGATCAAATCACACTAGGCTAAATGGGGTATTATAAATACCATAACTGTATTATATACTAACTCCTATATATAATTTATCCCGTTTTTGTTTCCTTTATCTCTTTCAACACAAGAAGCACAAAGAGGATTCGGTGGATCCTGAAGACTCCTGCACTGACGCTGTACCCTCATCAGTCTCAGCTCCTTGGATTTTGCAAGACTTTACTTGCTCCTTATTTTTAATAAACATTAAACTTCCCAGTGTTGGTCTTTGTGGAAAAAGTGCAGATACACCTAAGTATCAGCACAAAATGTTTAGTTCTATTTAGATTGCTCCTGACTTGAGCATATTTTCTGTGTCTGACAGTACAAGAACAACATAGAGGAAATGCCAGACAACATGCTTGACGTGCAGTTTATTAGACATTTATAAATCCCATTGTGCTAATTCAGTGCAAAAGTGTGTATATATATATATATATAGGTCATTGACAAATAAACAAATAAATGTTTTTTTAAATCTTTTCAAAACTGATGTAATGTAAATTTTTGTGTCATGAACAATGTATTTGAACAAGTTTCAGCTGTGAACATTTCTAAGTGTTTAAATTCACCTGAAAGTGTACCAACCTACCCATACTTGAAAGCAGTTTTTATCAGTATTTGATAGAGATCTACAAGGATCATTATGGCTCCTCTGGACAATGCATTATCATGCACACTGCAATTACCATAATAAGAGAGCCATGTTTGCAGTTGTGCCCCCCTGACATACAAATTGCTAGACAAAAGGTTTTCAATTATCAGCTATAAATCTACTGAAACGTATAAAATTTGTTTATATGAAAGGTTAAAATGATGCCATAGAATTTCATTTAAAACACCATTTAAATTAGTATTTTAGTCTGTTCATTTGTGCGGACAGTTGCACAACCTGACATTTTGGGGGGGTTAAAACATAAAATATGTATTATCTAAATGTACTAAAAATGAATTTAAACTAAATAGGTTTTATAGATTAAAGTGATGTATGTCATGAATTTATCAAATTATGTTAAGGAAATAATGTACTTGGACACTTAGGAAATAATGTATGTGTGTGTGTGTATAATCATGTTTTGTTTTAAAATGAAATATATTATGTATTCATTTATATAGTAATAAGTGCATAAGCATTGTAAACATTACGATGAATGCAATTTTACATTTTACTTGTTTGCAATGGCTTCACCTGTTTCCTGCAAGTCACCTGTCCTTGTGAAACCATAGTGAACATTACATGATAACCCTTAAATAACATTCAAGTTTAAGAACACAAAAATACTTCAAAACAACTGCAAAACGGTCTTTAACCAAGGTAAAGTTAGCCAGAAAACATGTTAACAAAGGCAGGCAACACTGGTTGACCACAATAAACATTAAATATCAGCAGATATTTATCTTTTAAAAACAATATTGCTGTAACTACATACACATACTACATCCAAATGTCAATGTATTATATACATATTGTAAACCAACGCATTTATTGACTACAAACTAACAAAAATCACAGTTCAGCTCTCTACCTCCATCGATTTGAATTGGCGCCGAAGCTCTTCCTGGAACTATCTGAGGTCTACGCGAATCACGTGACAACCAAGCTTTTAGAACTTCCGTTGTCGCAACTCTCTCTCTATATGGCTCTGGCACCTGTCAAGAAGACGCAGATCCCTGAGGCGGTGCTCAACCACACGGCACTCTCAAGGCTGACATTTACATGGATTTATAATACATTTCACTGCCTGAAGAGCTGAAAAGCGCTGAATGCACATTGTTGTCTGGGCTAGTACTGAAATAAGCAGAACAACCATAGTGTACCGTTAAAATTTTAGTACCACAATTTAAGTGCTGGTATACTAGTATGCAACCCTACATTACACTCAAGGTCTGTCTTCCCAGCCGGCCAGATCCTCACGCCAATACGCCAGCTTTACAGCCAATCACACACAGATTAACCCGAGAGAGACTGTGTTAACCTGTAGGGCTCAGCCACCCAATCCAGTTAAGACCATACGCCAGGTTTAATGTGTAAGGACCAGAAATCGCACTATAAAAATAATCTTTATCCAAAGGATTTTCGCCATGGACCATTTTTTAGGGATGCCCCGAAATTTCACCCGCCGAAAATTATCGGTTTATTGGCCGAAAGAAAAAAAAGACCGAAAATATAAGCCGAAAATATGCAGATATTGATATTCTATGTTTTAATATAGGCCTATATTCTGTCCAATTTGACTTTAGTTAAAAAAAAGTGTGGTTGTTTTATTGGCTTGTATATTTAAAATTCAGATTCATTATTGTATTTAATTAAAAAACAAAAAGTCTTACAATAACACAATTCTACAAATAAAATATATATTTTTTTGTGGTCATTTTCGGTTCTGGCCCAGAATTTTAATTTCAGTGCATCCCTACCATTTGTATTGGCTATATTTGTTTTCATGCCTACCTATATTTATGTAGGCTACATGTCATTCCAGTTGTAGATGTGATACCTTTTTTATATCGCCAATTTTAACATCTCAACAATCTCATGATTGCCAAAGACCGATCAACCAGGGAGAGTCCCAGCTGAAGTCACACTGACCCAACACCAACAACCGCTGCTGGGTTTTGGTGAACCGGCGTGTTAACCCAGTTTTCACAGACTGAATATTCAATGGACTCTTTTCACATCTCCAGGTTTCTCAGAAGTCGTCAGTCCACGGGTAACTTCTATAGTGGTGAAAGAGAGGCTGCGGCAAATATGATCCTCGCGTTCCCATTTGCTCCAACAGCAAAAGAAACAAACCCTGATACCGTTCCCATGACTTTCTAAAAGAAGAAAAACTATCTAGAGAAGGATCGATTACAGAGTCAGAAGAAGAGAGAGAGAGGGAGAAGGAAAAAAGTCAAATTTACCCTCCCTAGTCTGTGAAAGGGGTCCACTGGTGTTTGTCGAGTCTGGCGTCAATGTCAACAGTGGGATTTAATTAATTCACAGATTTATATTAAGAGATATTCATTTTCAGTGACCTCAAAGTAAGTAAGTTTACAGTACTATCCGTATAAATAAATACATTTTTAAACTCGAACTGTTTGAGCAATCGGTTTTCCCAAACTGGTCAAACAACTGGAGCAGAAATAATTGTGAATTTGTAACATTTTGGGTAGTGAGGAAAAAGCAGAAAGCATACACACTTTCGCCTTTGGGATTAAAACAGCCGTGCATCATCACACACCCTTCACCATACCCTTTTATTTCAGTTAGCCTAAACGCTGGTTTGATTAG